GTTGCGCACGTCATTTGCTTTGGACGGGCATCTATGAGGGATTTCCAACCACTGTGTGTTTGACCGCTGTTTAAAGCATTTCATTTTAATGGCTGTTAGCACCGTCAGCCTGCCAACAAAGACTTGGACCGTCCCTGTGTTATTCAGGCCTTGTTACTGAGTGTGTGAGAGAGGAAGGAAGCGAGAGAGTTTGTGAGGTGCGTGCGTGTGTGTGTTCCATTAATAAGGAACAATTGAGGTGGTATCACTGCTTATTAGGTTTAATTTAAAGCTATCACAAAAACTAATGTGTCTGTGGCTCGGTCACGACCTCCCTAAACTAAATTACAGACGCATTCTGTACCAGAGACGTGCTCTCTGCTGCAAGACCCGATGGGAGGATACCTATCCTGACCTCTGACCTTTCCTTCGGGCACAGGGGTTTAGTCTGAAGTGGGACGGGGGGGATGAAGGAGATTAGTGAGAGAGAGAGAGAGAGAGCACAGTTTTGAAGGCTCTAGACAATGAATGGTTTCTTTGGGAGATATAGTGAAGCATTTAAGAGCGCTGTGTGCCACCAGTTCTTTTGTCCTTTTAGTGCCCCTTATAAACCGCTTGTAAACACACACACACACACACACATGCAATTTTGTTTTTCAAATTAAAGGGTTCATAACATTAAAAGCAACTGATTTTCGTGGCTCCTTTGAAGTGCAATAGTTTGATGTAGAGTATACCATTGAAATATTTGAGGTTAGCAGGATTTTCTAATAATGAAAAGTATACTGTTATTCAGTGAGGATGCAATAAATTGATCAAAAGTAACAGTGAAGACGTTTATGTTATAAAAGATTTGTACTTCAAATAAATGCTGTCCGTTTGAACTTCTATTCATCAAAGTGTCCTGAAAAAAATCACAGTTTATATAAAAATATGAAGACCACGGTTTTCAATATTGGTAATAATAAGAAATGTTTCTTGAGCTGCAAATCAGCATATTAAAATAATTTCTGAAGGATCATGAAGAAAAAAAATCAGCTTTGCATCTCAGGAAACAATTACATTTATAAATTTATTAAAATAGAAATCAGTTATTTCAAATTGTAATACTTTTGTACTGTTTTTACTCTGCATTTGATTGAATAAATTAAGCTCAGTCCTGTCAGACCATTTACTGACCTGAATCTGTTCTTGAACTCTTCATGGATGTAACTGCATATTGTTTTGTGATCACATTATAAAGCAGACTTTGCAAAAGATTAAAGGGTTAGTTCACCCAAAAATGAAAATGATGTCATTAATGACTCACCCTCATGTCGTCAAGCCCGTAAGACCTCCGTTCATCTTCGGAACACTATATAAATTAAAAATTACCTATATAAAATAAAAATATAAAATAAAAAGTTAATAATAAAAAAATTAATTAAATAAAAATTATATATATATATATATATATATATATGAAGAGTTCAGATGCAAAAGCCTCTAAATGCCATTTGAAATTTTCTTCTTTAATGATGATTTTTATCAAACTTGTATATTTAAGTTCAGTAATTTCACTTAAATAACAATTAATAGGTAATTATCATTGCCATTTAAGTGAAATCACTGAACTTAAATATACAAGCTTGATAAAAATGATCATTCTAGAAGAAAATTTCAAATGGCACTTAGAGGCTTTTGCATCTGAACTCTTCATATATATATATATAAATTAGTGTAATTTATATATATTAATTTATGTATATAAATTACCCCCTACCCCCATTTTTTTTTTTTTTTTTTTTTACCAGAAATATTTTAGTAGTTCCCTGTTCAAAGCATGATACCACAATGCAAGTGTGATGTGGGTGGTTTTCACTTTCAAAGTAGTGGCGCACATTTCTTCAACAAGCTGCACTGTTGGAGGTATTCATGAGCGTTGCTGCACAAACAATACAGGATGACTTACACACTGAAGTTTAATACCTAGGGTTGGTGATTTGTTCACATCCCTAACCTCAAGTTGGCTCTGCAGTAATTGAGATGTTTGTCTTTGCAGCGCCACTGTACATAGGATGTGGCCTCTTTAAAGTTATGTGTTTGACAATGTTCTTTGTTTTATTTGTGCAGTTGATAAACATTGTGTCTGTGTGCATGTGTGCCGTCTTGTGCTAATGGACTAATAGAGTCGCTCATTCTCTCTCTAATGACACTGAGATTCATTGTGAATTTAAACCCTCAAAAGGCTGCTATTCATTTGGAAACTTTTCACCGAAGGCATCTAAAGTTCTTTCCGATAGTTTCTCATCTCTTTCATTACCGTCATCCCGAGAGATGTCTTAATTACAGTATTCATTGTTTCATCTCATTTAAGTGGGAATACATGTATTGTTGAATGGGCCTGTTGAAAGTAGAAGAAGGGATAATTGCGAGAGGTCTTGAAAATGCTTCAGATCAGGTTTTTTGGCTTTAATAATACAAACACAAAACAAAAGCATGCACATCACTGGCGGATTGCGTAAGTGGGTAAAAATTACTTAAAACAGAAAAAAATAAATGAAGTTGGCACACCACGACTCAAAAAAAAAAAATAATAATAGAAATTTGGCTAAATGGCCTAAAATATCAATTCTGTCAATAAATTTCTATATTTTTGGAGCCGTGGTGTGCCGACATTATTTATATATTTTTTTAGGCATTAATGATGAAATGATGTCTTTCGGACTATACTTTTTAAAAGCACGTCCATGGACTGAGTAATATTTTTGTACAATTGTTACTCAAATTTGCAAACTCTGTTTTTCTTTTGGATGGCTTTTTTTGTATGTAAGTCATATTTTTAGTAATTAAATGAATACTTTTATTCAGCGAGGATGCATTTAACTGGTGAAAAGTGATCGTAAAGACATTTATGCTGTTGCAAAATTTCTATTTCAAAGAAATGCTGTTCTTTTAAACTTTCCATTCATCAAAGAATCCTGAATAAAAAATCGTTTTTCACGAAAATATTAAGCAGCACAAAATTGATGAGAATAATACATTTTTTCTTGTACAGCAAATCAGCATATTAGAAGGATTTCTGAAGGATCATGTGACACTGAAGACTGGAGTAATGATGCTGAAAATTCTGCTGTGCATCACATGAACAATACATTGTTTAAAAAGATATTAATAAAGCTTTAAATCACTTTAAATCACAGTAAAACACTTTAAATCACAGTATTACCATTTTTACGGTATTTTAGGGTTACAGTAAAAGGGTAAGACACATTTTTACACTGATGCCTTCAACATCCCCTCTTGATTTTAAAACTGACCATCTTTCTACACCCTAACAATGATTTATGCATTCATATTCTTCAAACACTCTCTTCTGTCTAAGCATCCTCACCCGCTCCCACACGTCATGTAAAAATAAAACAAACGATTTATGATGAAAGTCAATGGTTCTGTGAGACTATGTGATGTATATGACCATGGTTCACCCTGTTGCATGTGTGTTTGTGTCAGTAATATACTGCAGTGGTGAGGGTTGACACGCGCTCATAAATTATCCAATTACCGCAACCATGCTGTGAAATAAAGAAAGGGACAGATGAAAAAGGAGTGTGGAAAAGAAAAGAGCAGATGGTGGCATTGGTCTGGAAGCCACTGGCCACTCCTTCCTCCTCAGACTCAATGAAAAAGGTGCTGAAGATGAATTGCAGTTGTGTCTTTGAGCAAGTGTGTGTGTGTGGTCTCGGGACGGTACGGTAATTGAAGGTTGTCCGTGAAAGAGAAGCCCTCAAGACGCTCATCTGGTTTCTGTCCGAAGGAAGAACTGATTGTCGGAGATGAAAGCTTTTGTTAAACTGTTTTATGCCCCACTTACGCTCACTCGCAGACAGTACGCTTTCCTAACACCCGATAAAATCGTGCAAGTCTGTTTTGCTTTACAGACAGGTATTGTGGTTTTTGTAAGTAGTCTGTTCCTCATGAAGTGCCCAAATAAATGCCAAATGTCTAATAATAAAGGGCTTCTGTTTTACCTCACACTCATTTGGCGTCATCTGTGCGTTTAGTTTCATTTCAGAATATGATGTTATGAGGTAATTAAGGGCACAAAGCATGACTAAGGCTATGTTTACACGGAAACGATTCTGAAGAGAAAGCGCAAAGTGGCGTTGCGTCATCACTTTTTATTCTGCGTTTAGACGAGCGTTTTGTGTGGGAAATCCTCGTGCAAAAGGTGACGCAAAAGTGTGTGAAATTCAATGTAGTATGCACTTAAGGGGGCTAGGAGTGCATACTACAACGCGCCTGCGTACAACCTTCACTGTCAAGCAGACTTTTGCGTTTTTACCGTTTACACGGGAACGCGGCGGAGCGTTTTTAAGATTTCCACTCTGGAGGGTGGTTTCACTTTTTTTGGGGTTTTTAAGCCTCGAAAACGCCGTGTAAACGAAAGGTACATCTGATAAAATATTTTTACGTTTTCACCCGGAATCGTTCTCGTGTCGGGGCCTTTCACTCAGGATGTTTGATACTCCTTTGTATCATTAATCATTTTTTATCGTTATCTATTCAGAGACTGTTTGTTTGTCATATTATTAGCTCCAAAATCTGATGTGCTGCCTTCCTCGTAGGGTTGGGTATCATACAAATTTCAACAAATCCGATTCTGATTTCTAATTTCGATTCCAGTAGGCCTACGCCTAAATGGTTTCAAAATACCATAGTAAAAACAACTAGCCTATAAATTTCAATCATAAATAAAGACAAATTCAGTAATTAAAAAAAGAACAAATCAACAAATTGGCTACATAACCAAATCTGTGATTGTAAATCAAGTCTCTCGTGGTTTCACTAACTCTTAACAGAGTTGCTGTCCATAAATAGTGTTTCAAATCAGCCATTTAAGTGGTTTATTGTCTGATAAGGTGCTGAATTAGAAGGGTGCTGCCTATGTAGAATAGATCACAGCAACTCACTATAGCATTGTGGTATGTTATTTTCACCATTTTTATAACTTAACCTTTTATTTTCTCCTGCCTTCACAGCTCTGGTGTGTCGCTGCCATGGCGACCCTGACCCCCTGCTTCTTACGGATTTTTGCTGTCCTCCAATTTGCTGCTTGCTCGTTTCCAGAGGAACCTGGCCCTTTAATCTCCGCCCCTGCTGAGGGTAAGCACACGCCCCCTTCCCAATTACACTGTACCAGTTTAAGCAATATCAGCTGGTTCCTTTTTTTAGTTGGACATACACCGTACAACACATTTATGTTCTTCCATGCATGCTCAGCATTTAGCTCATAAATTAACTTTGAGACTTTGCCTTCCAAAAACATGCACATCAGTTGAATTTCAAATGACTGTGCCAGCTTTCATGATTATGAACATCATAAGAACAGTGTTCTGCCACATTAAATATATTATTCTTCCAAAGTCAAGTGCCTCTGGTCAATGATACATTCATAATGTGATTTTTTTTTTTCCGATGAAGCCTACAGTGATTCCACTGCTATTATTTTGAAACAGTAAATACCATTTTTTTATTTATTTATTAGCTAAGTATAAAAGCTAAAGAATAATGAGTGTAGGAGGACACTAACTAAACATGACTTGCTCTAATAAGGACTAAATTGATACCCCCCCCCCCCCCCTAGTGAGGGGAGTCTTAAATGATTCACTCAAAAAAAAAAAAAAAAAAAAAAAAAAATCCTGTCATTATTTACTCACCCTCATCCTCATGCCGTTCCAAACCCGTTAGATTTCCGTTCATCTTCAGAAAACAAATGAAGATAAAATTTATCTTTTCGATAAAATCTGAAAGCTTTCTGTTCCTCCATTGACACACTTTGACGCTTCAAAAAGTTCATAAAGAGATTGTAAAACTAATCCATAATTTAGAGGTTTAGTCCCAATTTTTTTGAAGTGACACAATCCCTTTATATGATGATCAGATTTAAGTTAGGCTTTTATTCACATCCACTTATAGTAAACAGAAGCTCAAGCATGTTTGCTTGACGTGCGAGAACCAATGAGGTTCATTCTCGTGTTACGCAGCACTTTTAAGCGCCTGTTTATGTCCGCTGGTCTTTACACGTGATTAAAATTTATTCTGTTGATCAGATATTTGTGTTTTGAAAATGAATGAAACTCGTACGACTTTGGAACGACATCGGGGTGAGTAAATGATAAATTTTGGGTGAACTATCCTTTTTAAAAACTACTCTATACTACTTTTAAATGCATAAACTGGTATTTTACAAAAGTTTTGTGGGCATGAAATAGATTTACATACAAAGTTGGTCTGGGTCATTAAAAAAAAAATCATTACGATGTTTGGCTAACTGCACTAAGAGATCATTCGGGTTGCATGAGATACACATCAACAGATTGCAGCAGAAAAAATTACTCTTAGAAACTCTGTTAACTTAAAGTTAATTCCTATACATTATCGTATAATTCACTCAGTCTCCACCATTAAATGTGGTAAAGTCACGGTTTTCTTGTGGCTATGTTAAAGCTTTTACACTGCATGCTGCACTACCACTGCTGTGAAGCCATTTCCAGACTGTTCTTTACATATGTTTGACATATGATGTGTACATGTCACACTGTTTGTAAATAGTTTACCACGTTAGTGTTCATGGATGGATGAAATACACCATACAGCTGTGATCTTTTTAAAAGCCTTTCAACATAATGCTGCTGGAATAACGAGACTGTGGATGTGTGTTTGAGTATACGAGGGGTTGTATTCCCTATCCCACAAACCAGAATCAGTGATATTGATGAACAGCCACTCATGCATCTCTAATGATTCAGTAGAGACCAGGGATTAAAGTTCACTCAGCACAATGTTTATATGTGTGTATGTGGGTCAAGTTTTGTCCCCATAAGGATAGTTAAACCTGATTTCACCTACGTTGTAGGGTCCTGCCAATGTTTGCTCTCTGCAAGGAAAACAGCTTTGAAAACATAGTAAATAATGTCTTAATGAGAAAGTAAAAAAAGTAGAATGGTTTATTTGAGGAGAGGTAAAGAACATAAAATATCATTAGCTCAGAAGTCAGTGAAGATAGAAAAACAATCGTGTCTCTGTCTGTGTGTGTTTGTGTGTGTGAATCAAAGTGAAAGTGACCTTTTTAAGGGTTTTCTGCATTTAATTGCACTTTTCAAAGCACAAAAACATTTAAACCCTTGTGAAATGTGTCCAAACAACTAAAGGCAAACCAAGCCGGCAACAACAACAACAACAGTATCTCATATGCTTCTCTCTCCTTATTACAGTGAAATTAATTACTTGCAGAAACTGTACAGAATATTATTAGCATTCAGTAAATATGTGGGTGTCCTCAGGCTCCTCTACCCTCAGACACAGAATGCAGATCCGTCTCTCTGCGGTTGGAGGACACATTCCTGTTTGTTGGGGTTTTTTTTCCAGTGGTAATCTGTTTTCTAATTGTGTTTAACCTCTTTCCACAGCATTTGGAAAGCAATTTTCCTTATCTGAAATGTGTGAACGCACTCTGAACTGCTAGCGACTCTTTTCAACAGCGTTTTATTCAGGAGGGGAGGGGACACAATATGAAACTTATCAGCTTTGCTCATGAATATTAATTATGCGACGGGACATTGGCCCAGGAGTCCTAACTGATTGTCTGGGCAAGTTGCGTTAGCCAGAGCAGGATAAGCGCTTACTGTGTGTGTGTATCAGTGTGATTTTATCATAATTTATGTTAGCATATATTCATATTTTGAATTAGCTTTTATTTTTTAAATTTTCAGTTTTCATTTTTTTTAGTAATTTTATGTGCTTTTGTCATTTTTATTAGTTTTTTAAAATATATTTCTATTTAGCTTTAATTTATTTTTATGTGCATGATGTCACCGTTTTCACAAATTCACATTCTTGTTGAGACGATAACCGTATCATTTTTTTTTTTAACTTCCACTTTGAAACACGTTTTCAAAAGTTTGCATTTTCGTTTTTCGTTGAAAACCTTACATAAGTAAGTTAAGATAAGTTAGAACTAAATTTTAGTACTTTTGCTGTTCTATTTTTTAAAAATAGTTTTCCTGCTATACAAGTTAGAGGTTTTTTTTTTTTTATTGATATAAAAAGCACAGGGGATACATCAAGCACAAAAAAATAAAATAAAAATAACAGTATACTCCAAAGTAAGCAAGGCAGTAGATTACGGATAGTCTAATAAAAAAACAAATAACAAATCACAAAACATGCACATAAACTACAAATAAATCCACAAAATTAATACAAGTAATTATAAATAAATAAAACTGGAAATGCATAAATAAACATCTTTAGAAAATCAGGTGGTAGTTTACAATGAAACCATAATTTCTTTGAGCAACAAAGTAGTTTTAGCAGCTTTCTTATTAGCTGATAAACAAAGGAGTCATAAAATAATTTTATATCAAGTTGACAGAGGTCATGTGATTTTTTTTTTATTATTTTTTTTTTCATGGATATCCTGGTTATGGGGACTGGGGGTTGTCCAGTTCTAAAATCATAAAAAAGTATATATATATATATATATATATATATAACATTTAATGCATTCATAATGTGAACAAATTGTTCTTTATATTCATTAATTTTTACAATGAATCAGTTCAGAATCTAGTCTAAATTCATTAATGAACTGATTCAGTTCAACTCACTGATTCATTTTAAGTGTGTTGACAATTCACTGTAATGGATTGTCAGTAAGCAATGATGTGTATTTCTTTTTCTTATAAAAAGCTATCACACACAACTTCTGAAGACTTGGCACACAAGTTGTATAAAAGCATCTTATGATGCTTTTGATTCCTTTATTTGTTGTAATTGCGTATAGTCAGGGCGACCAGTATATTATGAAAGAAAGAGAGGTTTGGAATGACATGATGGCGAGTAAATAATGACACAACTGTTAGTTTTGGGTGAACTTTCCCTTTAGGACGACTTGTTGTTGGACTCTGACACAATGATGTATGTCTTTGTCCTTTATTCCTGTCTCGGAGGTCTTCTATCTCTAACTCTTCTGGGGAAGTGATGGACGCATTCCTGCCTGTGGTTTAGTGTCTGTTTCATCCATCTATACTTCATACTTTGGCTCTTTTGTTTGGGTGCCCATAATGTCTCTCTTTTCCATCTCAGCTAGTCGTTTTCCCCTTCTGAATTCTCTCTGTTTCTTTATCTGTAAGTGGTGAGGCGATATCCAGTGTTTGTGGGCCGAGCGCATCGCTCTTACACCCGTCAGGAGCCGCTGTACATTCAGACCGTCCTGAAAGTCAATCGTACACTCTACATTGGAGCCAGGTAAAGTCTGCATGAATTCACAATGACTCAACATACACATTTTAAATTAAAAAAAAGTATAATTTTGCATATTGCACATGATGCAAAAGCAAGCAAAATTGCACAAATGTTAAATCGATTCATTCATGCACTCATTCAAGACTCGTTCACTCAGTAACATCACCGTATTTGGTTTTACTTGAATATAATATTCTCTCTTTTATTAAAAGCTTTCTGTTTCACTAAACCGTCCCGGTACCTAATTGGACTTAATCGGAAGTGACAAGTTACACAATGAGAAAATGTGTTGTCATTACCGTTTTCAAGCTCTGACATTAATACCCATGTCCAAATAGCTCAACACAATGCACCAATATAGCAGCATGTTCTTGACACACTGTCAAAGTGTGCATGTGGAAATCTGTGTCCAGTTCGACTGGTGTCACATTTAGTTACATGTTTGAAATCCATCACATGGAATCCGCCTTCAAAGTCCGAGCTGGGAGGATTTAGACTCTCAAGGGAGTTTGCATGTGGTCCTGGTTAGGCAGTGGTTGAAAGTTAAACCTCTGTTCGCTGACCTTTAGCCTAACCATTATACAGTCAAGCAGCTTGAACGTGTGCTCTCTATGTCTGAAGCTGGAGAACAAATATAGTCTATCTTGAGTTTTGGAACTCTTATAAACTCTTTTATACATTCTGAAAAGGTGGAAACCTTCACCACAGAACTGTGAGGCTGACATCTCGAGAGCTGAGAACTCAAATTTAAACTTTCTCTTAGACAGGTTGATGGATTTGTTTTGTCAAAAGCCTTTAGTGCTTCTGTGTATTAGGTGGTGCTAAAATATATCTTCACAGACTTTCTGTTTCGTCTCGGTTAGTCACGTGATTTAGGCTGCAATTTGATTTGCATACTTCTAATATGCACTAAACTTTGTAATTCACTGGTGGTGGGAAAATATTCTTAAGCATTTAAAGACAGCCCTTCAGAATTGGTTATTGCTTTAGAAGTTATTGCTTACATGACAGTGCTATTTTTGTATTATTTATACTTAGCATTTATTCATATTTAAAAATGTTTGCTTACATTTTTATATTTGTATAGTTTTCATTTTAATTTGAGTATATAGTGAATATTTCTGTTTAGCTTTAATTTTATTTAATTTATTTATAATTTAATTTATTTATTATTATTTTATTTATTTATTTCAGTTTTAGTAATTATAGTACTCAGAATTGTACACTCTTAGAAGAAAAGGTTCTATCAGCGCTACGTATTTGGAACCCCTAAAAGGTTCTATACACTCTTAAAAAAAGGGTTCCTCTGGGTTCTATATAGAACCCTGGGGTTCCATACATGGCCAATAGAACCTTTTACCAAAAAATGGTTCTATATAGAACCATTTTGGAGTTCCATATACTGTATGAAGCGGGTGAATGGAACCATTTCTAGTTCTAAATAGAACCATTTCTTCTGAGAGTGTATTTCAGTTTAAGACAACATTATTTTCAAATTTCTCAAATTTTTCAAATAACTTTCAAAGTTAAAATTTTCCATCCAGTATTTTTTTTTCTTTCATTTCAACTTTATTGTCGGAAACCATTTTAGTTTTATTTGCTATATTCACTATTTGTCAAAATATTATAGGCCACCTATCATGCCCCTTTTCACAAGATGTAAAATAAGTCTCTGATGTCCCCATTGTGTGTATGTGAATTTTTAGCTCAAAATACCCAAGAGATCATTTTTTTACAGCATGTTTAAATATGCGTTGTTTTAGTGTGTATCCCTTTAAATGCAAATGAGTTGCTGCTGGAAAAGAGGGCGTAGCCTCAGAGCTCCCGCTCTGCAGGACAATCTCATCGGATAATATCGAAACAGAAATTCTTAAGTAGTGGTATTCATTTTGAACCAGAGTCGGACAATGCCTACAGAGTCAGAGAATGCTGTATGGAGATAGAGTTGAGGGAGCAAAACAAAATTTTTGTTTCTTCGAAAACAAAATTAATCCACCTCGTCCAAACGCTCAGTGTGCCGCTAGTTGTGCAGAATGGATACACGGCAGAACGTTGGCAACCCTAGGGAAAGGTGTCTAATTTTTTTGGTCTAAATCATAGCCTCCGTTTTTTTTTTTTTTTTTATATATTTCAAACGTCAACAAGAAGTCACGTCACCCTACATCGCTTAGCACCTTTAAGTTGGCGTAAATTTTTGTGAAACAGTCTAACTTGCATTAGACTAGTCTATGAGCAAATTTTAGATTTGTCTAACACAATAGACCGGTCTAAGATAGCTTTGTGAAACCGGCCCCAGGGCGGTACTATGTTAAAACGTCAGTGTCTGTCAACATTCGTGGGCGGGGCCTGTGGATGATATGATGTCACACCAGCCCCATGGCTGAAAACAGGTCATTGAGAGACACTGCTTATGAATTATGAGGATTTAAAAAAGGAGTGTGTGGATTTCTATCAATATAGGCTGGTTGTGTCGTGTGCATACACTGCCAACACACATTTATAACACCATGTAAAAGTGAGTTTTGCATAATAAGTCCCTTTTAAGATATTAAGGATTGTTTTAAGATGAAATGTTCATATTTTTCCCTCTCTTTTTAAGTATAAACTCATTCTTTTTTTTTTGTTAAATTGCTGAAAACAATAATGTAATGAGCAGGGTGTATTTAATAAGAAGATATGAAGAGTTCAGATGCAAAAGCCTCTAAATGCCATTTGAAATTTTCTTCTTTAATGATGATTTTTATCAAACTTGTGTATTTAAGTTCAGTAATTTCACTTAAATAACAATTAATAGGTAATTATCATTGCCATTTAAGTGAAATCACTGAACTTAAACATACAAGCTTGATAAAAATTATCATTCTAGAAGAATGGCACTTAGAGGCTTTTGCATCTGAACTCTTCATATATTCACTGAAAACAACTGTCAAAAAGTGTGTTTTTGTGTGTATTCTAATGCATACTCTAGTTTGAAAAGGAATGTGAACTGAGATGCAGTATTTGTGTTAAATTAAGTTCCATTTTCATTGTTACTGATGGTCCATGTATGCGGTGTGTGTGTGTGTGTGCAGAGATGACCTTTATCGAGTGGAACTGGACCATGTATCTGGAGATGAAATGTTCTACAGCAAGGTGAGCCCTTGTCCTGCTCTCTGTCTCTTACACACTCATAATTGCATGTTTGAACACTTCGCTTACCCTCCCATGGATGTGGGTGATGATTTCATTCCTTTGTCATTTTGCAGAAAAGGACGTGGGAATCCAATAAGAATGACATCCGCATCTGTAGAATGAAGGGCAAACATGAGGTGAGCGTTCAGTGCCAAATAACACTTTTTAGCAGTATCTGTGTGGAGAAAATCATTCAAAGCATTTTGAGCGATTCACTTGCCAAGAACTGGATGTTTCAAACCTTTGGCAGTCTCATATGAATACATTTTCCCAGAGAGTTAATGTATAAAAAAGGGATTTGGTTTATATTTGCAGTCTCACTTGAGCCTCTCTGCGGATGGTTGTAACCTTATTACGGAGGATTACTAACTATTGAGGGATGTAGATTTCCCAGTGAATTGCTTGTTTTTAATTTCTACTGTAATCATTAGATTAACGTTACTATCAATTTAGCTGTCTTACTGTATGACTCTTGTTGTGTTTTATCACACGTACTATCTTTTCTTGTGTTAATGTGTCCGTTTTGTTGTGTTAAATATTAATTTGAACACTAATACAATTCATGCAGCATATTGTTTTTTTTGTTTTTTTTACGTTAGCATGCATTTATTCAAAGCAACTTACAATAGAGCGACATGCAATTTGTCAAAGAGCTAACAGTAAACTTCATAGTTATGGCAGGTTTATTTGGAAAAATGTACAGATGCTTCTTCTGCACGTCCTTTAATCAAAGAAATAACATCTAAAAATAACTAATGCTGAAATTGGGCAAAAATAGTTTCTCTAAATAGTTGCTCTACTCTAGACCACATTCATTAAGCACTGCATGTGGTATTACTGTATATCAATGTGAAATTTAAATTATGCGTTTTTATTCTCTTCTAGGCAAATTGGCTCATTGTAGAGTGCACAGGATTCATGTGTTTTATTTCCCGGCTGCAATTACCGTAGTGATGCAGTTGATAGAAAGCTGGTGATAAATGTAATTTTATTGAAAGGAAATATTCATGTAGTTTTGAGCGTATCACATACTGGCGTCTCCATTGGAAACAGTTTTGTCTTTTATTCAGCACGTTTGGACCTGACAGCTCCTACAGCAGTTCACTTAAGAAGCTCAATAATGAGCGAAACGACGTGCTGGTTTGGTAAAAACAGCTGTTACTCTATCATTACACAATGAATGACTGAAGTTAAAGGATAATTCCGGTATTTAACACCGTTAGTCTATTTTGTAGTTTGTTTTGAATGAAATAGAGTGGTGGACTTTTTTTTTTTTTTTTTTTTGGAAATTTTGACAATGGGTCCTGTCTCGACTTTTTGACTATTTTAGAATCGCCTGTGAGAGCTTTAGACTGGCTGTCTATGGGCATGCACAAACATGTCCTTAAAACAACCCTTAACGTTCATTTTCAAAACTGTGCAACTCACTGAGTGGTTGTTATTATTGGTTATTGGTGTTATTAGTGGTTATTATTATTATTATGTCTCTTTAAATGATAATAAGCAACTGCTCACCCACTAATAGGGAAATATGCTAATACAGGACAGTCTGTCAATGGGCGTGGGTGGAGTATGAGCAATATAATGTCATATTGCTCAGAAAATCCAAACGGTTTGATTATTGAGAGTGTTTAGGCTTTTTTCATTATATGGTGGTTGTGTCCACACACCGCAAAGACACATTTACACTGAACAAAATTATAAACGCAAAAATTTTGTTTTTGCCCCCAGATCTATGTACACAAAGGCCTATTTCTCTCAAAAAACTTTCACAAATCTGTCTAAATCGGTGTTAGTGAGCACTTCTCCTTTGCCGAGATAATCCATTCTCCTCACAGGTGTGGCATATCAAGATGCTGATTAGACAGCATGGTTATTGCACAGGCACTATATAGCCACACAAATTCAGACATATTTGGATTTTGCATTCTGCATTCGGGAGTGTTGTATTTAAAGGAATAGGCCACCCCATAATAAAAATTCTGTCATTTTCTCTCCCTCAAATTATTCTAAACCTGAATGAGTTCTTTGTTCGTGTTGAACACAAAAGATATTTTGAAGAATGTGGGTAATTAAATGGTATAAGTATGGGGAAGCCAATGGAACCAGAAACTGATTGATTACCAACATTCTTTAAAATATCATCTTTTTTGTTCAACAGAACAAAGAAACTCATTCTTTTTGGGTGAACTATCCCTTTAGGACAACATGAAATGATTTTCAATCGCACCTCGAGACCCCTGTGTTCTGCAACCTAATTAGTTGATTTTGAAAATATGTTGGTCTATCCCCAAATCCCTTGATCTATCCTGCCCAAATAGTTCACCTCAACTCTTGGTTTATTATTCTCTTTAACTTGAGGAGATTGTGAAGGCCTGTTTTCTGAGCTGAAGTTGGGCCGAGTTCTCATGTCCCAGACGCGATTGTGTCTTTCTTTGATGTTTTCGTGATAAACCTGTTCTTATTCTTCAGTTTCAGAGGCTAATTACCTTCTGCCTTCTGCCCACCTTCATAATGTAGAAGTCCTGCTTTCCCGCTCTTTTGCACACCGGGGCGTTTTAATAGATGTGTATGACTGCAGGGGAGAGAACTTCAAGGGACTGAGTGTCAAACCTGGACAGGGATTATTGTTTGGCAAGAGGGAGCTTACAAATTAGACCTGTCTGCCACCCACCCACATGTTCGCAGAAATCTGAGACATCAAACATGCACCTGCGAATCTCTGCCTCCGGCACTTTTTGCAACAGGCTCTCATTCTCTCTCCATCTTGCTTTTTCTTTCTTGCCCTTTCCACTTTGTTTTTGTTCATGATCACTAATTACCTCATACACTATAAACTGTTTTTTCACAGCGTTTGTCTCTAATTGTATGAAATTGACAGAATATATTTAGCGCAGACGGACAGAAAAGGATCAGAAAAGGCCAGACACTTCAGTTTGAAAAACACGCCCAATTACCCGTCCTTCTGACCGCACACCTCTGCTATCCAGGAGCCATTTTCTGCATTTCATATGCACTAGAATAAGACTAGATGGACTTTAGAAAGTGCTGTCAGATGAAATGTGTTTGATCTGATCTAGCATGTGTTCCTCCAGTAATTGTGGAATTGCTGCTTGATTTAAGCTGACATGATTTGATAATGAGGGAGGAAATTCAATATCCTCTGGTGGAGAACAGTGACTGGATCTTAAACCCTCATATCTCGATCGATGTTAGTTATCGAAACCACACATAAAAAAGCCGCAACACACAGTAGACACTAGTTTTTCCGCATCGCAGAGCTGCTGTCCCGCACTGTACGACTTGAAAAACAACTACATGTCGGGCTCTATCGTGCAAGTGCTTTTTGCTAGTTTCAGCCTGACGCAGTTATCATTTTTCGGGTTGTTTAGATAGCAAATGTATTTGCGCCCATTTGTGTGCTGGTCTGAAATCAAGGTGTGTTCAGGTGCATTGCTATTTTGAGGCAACTGAAATAGACTGAAATGTTTTGGGTTATTTTAAAGAGCGTGTTAGTAATGTGGCGGGTTCACAACGCGCCTACACTTTGTCTCTTAGATGGTTTGCTTGCGCGCTTTAACCTCGCGCACAAGCAGATCCATTATCTCGCGAGAATACCGTTCAGTTTTTCTGCTTTCAAATTCCGTGATTTAAATAGCGATCCGCCATGGCACGAGCGCAATTGGCTTTTAAACGGAATGGGAGGTGAGACTCTAATTGGTTTATTGCACGTTATGCCCAAAACACACCCATTACTCATTTAATGTTGTATCAGTGATTGTGGGTGACGTCACTTTCTGTTTTTTTCTGTTTGAAGCGAGATCCCAAACAAAGCAAGTTAGCTCATCCCTCCCTACCGTTTCGTGCATCATGAAAAACTCCCACACTAAATCCCTACAATTTGACATTCACTAGAGCTATCCAAGTTTAGTCGAGCTTCACTCATATTTTGTAGCCCTCAAACCGAATTCACTTTATAGCCCTTAATCCTGTTATTGTGGACAAATGTGGGCACAGAGGACTCAGGTGGGATCTTAATTTTTATTTATTATAAATGTTAAATCACTGTCTTCGATAAAGTTTTGTCTATCCATTTATGGTGTTTTTTTTTATTTTGGGGGTATTTTTTTATTTATTCACTTCAAAAAGTACCATATTTTCTATGTAAATTATGCTTATTTTTATGTTTTATTTTTTAAATTTTTTTAACTACATTAAAATATCATTCCAATAAGTTCTTAGAGCTAAAACCTAAAGATGAAGTGACTTTGCTGTCTCCTGGTGTCTTATTTTGGCTTATTTTAGAATGCTGTAAATGACAGTTTGAAAAGGGTGCCCATTTTTGACCCAAATACAAGATTAAGGAGTTCCCTTTCGTAGTCACTTCGAGTTACGTCAGAAGTGACGGAGATTGGGGGATTTCGCATAGAAAGCCAATCCTCTTCGAGTATTAAAACACGAGCCAATGGCATGCAATGCCTTGGGGCTGCGGAAATTTGCATAGCGTACTCCGCCCTACTCCGTGAGTATAAAAGGAGGAAGTGAACGCAACCGCAGTATCACTTCACTCCTCAAAGCTGATTCAAGACTCTTCGAGACGAGCGTCCTCTTCAGTGTTGGTGTGACGGCGGTACCCAGCGAGATTCTGCATTGCCTGCGATCTGTGCAGTGGTTTGCCAGACTTTGCGCTTCTCCCTGGTAGCCTCAGCGCTGAAAGAGTGAATTTCTCTCCTCTCTGTAAAAGAGCTGCACGCGGCACGTCTTTTTAAAGATGGTTCGCCCGTGCCCTTCTGGATGTGGTAGATTTCTATCGTCATCTGATGGTCACGAACGCTGCTTTGTTTGCTTGGGCATTCAGCATGCAGCAGCAGCGTTCGTGGATGACTCATGTTCCTTCTGTGGGAGCATGACCATCTCCACACTGAGGTCGCGGCTCAATGATCTCACTAGAGTGAGAGCCCCGGTCCCCCCTACTCGATCGGCTTCCTTTTCAAAAGGGGGCCCGTCGACCCGGGGACCGGGCGATCTAACGGTGACGGTGTGGGATAAAGCCCCGACGATTCCTCGGGCCACACCTCCCGCCTCAGTGCGTGAGCCAGCGGGCGCTAGTTCGACTCGGTCGGTTGTCTCTTCGGCG